TGAAATTTGTGGTTCCTTTTCTACAACAAAATGGTGCCCTAGTGAGCTCAGACCTAGCAGTGGTGGGTTTCACTAATGGGAACAAAAATAGTTATAGCAGAAACGTGTTCCTTGTGTCACATACATTTCATAAATTCATCATAAAGTGAGATAAAAATAATTTAGTTTAATAAATAGTAACTTTAAGTAACAGCGATAGGGGTGTGCTATTTTCTGGGATTTTATCGATAACGATAATTAGACAATATTTTGCTGAGTGTGTTATTGTGCTGGTATCTTAAGGACTACCGTGGACAGCTGACTCATTAATTATTTTTATATTCTTTATATTCTGTGTGGTGGTCAGTTCACAGCAGCGATAGAAATTAATCTTTTCCAATAAGTTTAAATTTTTTCTAAAAGTGTGCATCATCTTTTGAGTCAAATTCTTAATTTTAAAGGGGTTGTAGCGTCTGGACCACTCCAACACACAATATATATTTTGTTAGCTAGATACATTATTGTTTCTCCTCTATGCTCCGCCTTTCTGAAACGCGTTGATTTTTACAAAGCTCATCGGTCTGAAAAAGCGAGGTATACGCTGATTGGCCAGCTATCCAGTGCGTTGTGATTGGCCGAATGCCTCAAGCGTGTAACGGAAATGTTATGCCACTTAACATACTGTGATACAGAGTCCCAGCGCGACCAGACAAAACCAACAAAACCCATTACAAACGAGACATTTGTAGCATCCAGTGGGCACATAATTATGGATTATAATGACTTATACTGTCTTTTTACGCATTGCGTTGCATATCGTGCTGCGTAAACATAAAACCATGTCTGCATTTGTGATCAGAGAAACAACGAGCAACGAACTACAAACACTACTCTACACTGCTCAAAACTAGCGTTTGAATCATCAGTGGCAAATTCTTTAAACATGTAAACCTACTTACAGACTGTGAGTCAGAAGCGCCAGACTGTCCTTGCCAAGTTGGAATTGTCCCACTTAGAAACAGCCTTTGTACACAGCCTTCCCAGGATCAAGAAACAGTCCTCCATAAAATGCGGACCAGACAAAACCAACAAAACCCATTACAAACGAGACATTTGTAGCATCCAGTGGGCACATAATTATGGATTATAATGACTTATACTGTCTTTTTACGCATTGCGTTGCATATCGTGCTGCGTAAACATAAAACCATGTCTGCATTTGTGATCAGAGAAACAACGAGCAACGAACTACAAACACTACTCTACACTGCTCAAAACTAGCGTTTGAATCATCAGTGGCAAATTCTTTAAACATGTAAACCTACTTACAGACTGTGAGTCAGAAGCGCCAGACTGTCCTTGCCAAGTTGGAATTGTCCCACTTAGAAACAGCCTTTGTACACAGCCTTCCCAGGATCAAGAAACAGTCCTCCATAAAATGCGCTGCAAACAACTGAATATTTGGGTTGAACGGTTCTGGAACAGTCTTGTAAATACAACTTAACCACTGATTAGTTGTGTCCTCTTTTGGAAAGCCAAACAAAGTAGTTTCGCTATTACAACGAAACACACAGCGTCTCCACAATATGGCGGCGGCAACAACAATACTACAGCGAGAATAAAAGTTATGCCTTCTTTCTTTGCGTGAACATTTGGGCAGCAGTTATGCAAATCTTCTCACATCCTGATGTAGATATGTGGGGGCGTGTTAGAATGAGCCATTTTAGGAGGGCGTGGTTGACTCTTAACTTTTATAAAAATATCTCTTTGGATTTGAGACTTTAGTCTTTGCAACTTTACAGATCTTATTTATAGCTTGTAACACTCCAAGGATAAAGGAAAAATTGAAATCGCATCATTTGACCCCTTTAATCAGTCAATTAGAATAATACGACATTTGGGCTGTTACCAATCAGATGAAATCAGTATCAACAAAATTCATCTTTGCAATGCAGAGGAAACACAGAAGTGGCATTTAGATTTTTAATTTTTTTTTATACACCATTTAATGCAAAACATGAATGCATTTAACCAACAGTTACACATGCATAAATAATGTTTTGATATTTTAAACATAAAATGTTGAATACTGATATTTACAATTATTTTAAAAATTAAAAGATACTTTAAATGTGAAATTAAAACTGCCAGTAGGTGGCAGCAAGTCACTGTTAAGTGAGTCATTGCGACTGAATCATTAAACAGTTGATTCATTCAGGAAGGAAACACAGCATGTTGCTTAGAGATGCAAAACAGTGTTGTGGCTGTGTTTGGAATGATTTTTGTTGGTGAAATAGAGCAAAACAGGCAATACTGTGTCTAAAATGCAAGTCCCTTTAAAGTCCGCGTGAACCGGAAGTTGCTGCCGACTTTATTTCAGTGTAGTGACATATTTCCAGTTGAAACGGAATATTGAATAGAGGGCATGGTTTTATGTTTGCGCTCCTCCTCTCTTTCTCTCACTAGAGGTCTGCTACCCGAAATACTTTCGGGTTTCGGGTCGGGTTCGGGTTAATGTTTAATGAATAGCTTCGGGTTCAGGTCGGGCTCGGGTTTATAGCTAAACTAAAACTATATGCAGGCTACGCTGCTTTCATAGACGCACGCGCACACATTATTGCGCACGACAACACAGCACGGTAACTTTTATTAGTAAAATAGCTTTGACAGGCTACTGACTCGCAACGTTATATTTCTCTGCAATGAGGGGGTAAAATCGCTGTTTTTGAAGGAACTAAGCCTCGTTGCTTGTAGAGAGAGACGCGCAGACACAGGTTCATACACGCAACTTACATCTCTCTCTCTCGCACGGGCGCTAATTCAAATAAATGATATAATTAGCCTAATTAATTCAAATAAATGCGTCTGATTTAAAGCAGGCCGAATGCTAACGAGCCTTAACTGACGAAAATGACCATAATTTGCACGATGGAAGAATTATCGTCTTGTCGTATACAACCATTCAAAAACTCGGAAGAATTTATGTGACCGCTACACCTGATGTTCATAAACTTTCTTAACTGGTAAGTGTTTTTTCTTTTGCCTTGTGAACTGGCCGAGCCTAACTGATTCTGTGTCTTTACATGTATTTGCTTACTGACTGTTGCATGCAATCGTGAAATACAGCATTTTTTAAAATTGGCTATTCGTTGTGGAAAAAAAAAAAAAAGAAAGATTTCGGGTTCGGGCTCTAAATTTAACTGTGCCGCTCGGGTCGGGTCGGGTCGGGTCAGACGATCTCGGGTACGGCCCGGGTTCGGGCTTCACTTTAAAGCCTGTGCAGACCTCTATCTCTCACTCGTAGCAATCTAACGGTTGGAGGGGTGTGTTTAAGGATATTCTGCCCAAGCCGTCAAACTGACGTCATCAGAAAAGGAACGCCATTCCAGAACGGAAGTAAATGTTCAGATTTTGATTAAAACAAAAAAAACTTTTCAGCAGTTTAACTTGCACGGATTAATTGTTTACATCAAGACTAGCAATGTGCGCTAGTAAAGTAAATAAACTCAATTTTGATTTCATGCGGACTTTAATATTAGTTTCTTGTTTATTGAACTGTTGTAAAGGCTGAATAATGCAGTGAAAAAACACACTGTAAATGCGCACGCGCACTAGTCTAATCTTCATCACATAACATTAATGTATTCGTGCACTCTGTAAGTTGGGCGTGTTTTGTTTGGTTTTTGCGATATACAGGATAATGTCAAATCCCACATCGTTAAAACATCATCACAGACGATATATATATCGCACACCCCTACCAAGAGATCAGTATGGGCTAAACTAGGTTATGAACGCCCACATGACACCAGTAAAGGCGTGAATTCACTGTTATTCTGCAAAATACAATGTAGTATGTAAAACATGACTTAATAAATACAAAACTCAGTATACTCACCATAACTTTAATGATAGAAAATTATGTTGCATCGGCTCCGCTCTCTCGCTCTCCCGCGCACAGAATTTGAATTCACTACACCAACGGTTTCTCTCACGCGCATGCATACACGTGTTTTTAGCTTTAAAGCTTGTTCGGCCAACACAGATTTTTCACTTCTGCTTGATAGATTGGCTGAGCACAATTTAATATGTTCGGTGAATGTATATTTTTAACTTAAGACCTTCAGCTAAAATTACTACAATGCATTTTTTGTTTGGGGATAATTATTGGGAAGCAATTTGTTGAGTCAATATTTATTTGTCAAAATGTACATTTTTTACAGTGAATGATTTGTTTAAACTGCCTCTATTATGCTTTTTTTCCAAATATTACCTTTCAAGCAGTGTGTATTATACCAGTTTGATAATGTAAAAGCAACATTTTAAAGATCAAAGTGCACAACAAGTAAATTTATTGACCTTCCAAAAGTAAAAATCAATTCTGAACTGTCAAAATGAATCATCAGCACATAACATACAGTAAGTATGTAACAAATTAGCAAAATGCTAGTGAACAATGTCTACTTTGACCCTCAAACACAGAGGCCCCTGGGATACAGCATTATGGTAGGTCCCCCCTACCCCAGATATATATATATATATACAGTATATACAGTGGGTACGGAAAGTATTCAGACCCCATTAAATTTTTCACTCTTTGTTATATTGCAGCCATTTGCTAAAATCATTGAAGTTAATCTTTTAATTACTATGAACTGAGGAAGCCTTCCGGAGTGGAAATTCATATACAGGTGCATCTCAATAAATTAGAATGTCGTGAAAAAGTTCATTTATTTCAGTAATTCAACTCAAATTGTGAAACTCGTGTATTAAATAAATTCAATGCACACAGACTGAAGTAGTTTAAGTCTTTGGTTCTTTTAATTGTGATGATTTTGGCTCACATTTAACAAAATATGTGACTGTTCTGCCACACATGGTAATGGTCATTTGTTTTTCAATGTAAGGAGTAGACCAATTTCTACAAACTGGGCCATCTGACCAATCAGAGCAGAGATCCAGACTGAATCTTTTTAGACACTTTGAGAAATGGAGTGATGTGCAATGTATATAATGAGAAAATTATAGTGTTTTTAGACTTGGATGCATGTAAACCTACAGTAGGAGACCTCAAAACAAAATCAAAAATAAAAATAACTTTTAAAACCGCATAATAGGGGCACTTCAGAACAATTTGTGAAACAAAGAACTACATATTCCCACAACAGCTATATGTGTCAAGTATTCAGTAAACAGCTGTGGAGGAAGGCTCCTTCCGATTGAAACTTGGCAACAACTAACACATTCCTCAGTGTGCTTCATTTACTGGAGGACAGGCATGAATAAAACTCTTTGTAAAATTATGACAGAGCATATATTGTTATTTCTAAGACAGTGTATATAAATTCCACAGATTTATCTGGATCATTTACTGGGCCCTGTACTACAGATTGAAGTTTGAAAGAATTTATATGTATTTGGTAACTTAACAAGGTAATAACTTTAATTCACTTCTGTTATGACAAAACTACATGCAGCTGTCAAATAGTAAAAGTAGTCTTACTGGCCTTAATAAAAAAACATTCCATTTGAAAAGTACATTATAAAATATCATTTTAAAATATTTTTTCCCGTGTGTTTTTGTTGTATAACAGAAGCGAGGTAAAATTGGAGCTGCAGAAGATCTGAGAGGTCACAACAAGCCTGTTGATGTCAGTAAATATTTCTCGTTCTGTTTAATGAGTTTAAGTCCTGAATTAAGGATAATTTTGACTTTTTAACATATTTTTTTACCAGGAAGAAGAGAAGATCTTTAGTTGAATCTCGTGAAGAAGTAATAAAGCCATAATAAGTCAAGGGTGATTTGTTCCTTAACTTTGTTCTTCTTTTGAATCAAAATGAATTCTGAAAGTACAAGTGAAGATGAACAACTAAAATGCATACTGATCCCATTCCTTAAAATGTCTGGAGAACAATTAGTCTGTACACCAGATCAGGAGTTTGATGGCTCTCTCTGTGAGTTAATCGACAGATATCCGTCTGAAAAAAATGCACATTATCCTGATATAAGGATAAGAAAATCTTACATAATGTCATACAACAATGAAACCAAGAATGCTAAATGGGTGTATGAGATACTGAACAATGACACTCTGAAGATCAATTGTAAGGAGAACGGCAGCTTTGGAAAGAATGAATTTGAGGGCTATGAACAGGGTCATCTTGCTGCAGCTGCCAATCACAGGTGGTGTCAGGAAGCCTATCATGACACTTTTTTGATGAGCAACATGACACCACAGCTTGAGAAAGTAAACAACAGTTTTATGAAAATAGTTGAGAATTTTTGTCGAAAAAAAGCTATAGATGAAAATGTCCGTAATGTCCATGTGTACACTGGACCACTTTACCTGAAGTTTGTGCGTGGAAAGTATTTTGTGCTTGAGCCAGAGAAAGAAGAGAAACCAGGGAAAAAAATTCCAACTCACTACTTTAAGGTGGCATTTGTGGAGGATAAGAATGGGAAAGTAAATTTGCATAGCTTTGTAGTGCCCCAAATTGAAAAAGAGGAAAAGGATTTTCCTGAACCTAAAGTTGAACAATTTGTGTGTGATATTGTGAAAATTCAGAAACTCTCAGGGCTGAAATTCATGGAAAGCCGTAATGAGAACACAATGGGGAAGATAAAGTCTATTAAATGGGAGGGAGAAGATGAAAAAGGAATGCCATGTAGTGTTAAAATAAAAGTCAGAATAATCTCCCCACATAATGAGGAATGATGGTACTGATAGTGCTATGTATCTGATGTGTGCAGTAAAATACTTTATTACCCTGATGACACTGAAACAGCTGTGTTTGATCTTCTTCAAAAGTTTGACGAAGCTTGCAGTTCTATCTGGTTAATAATCCCATACATGTACTCATATAGATGCACAGCATTTAAAGAAATGCTATCTCATCCTTTCAGAAATGTTTCTCATGATCTTAAACATTTTGATCTGACAGCTTATGTTTAAACGATTTAAATTAATTTTGTAGACAAACATGTTTATATATTTATTTATTTCCATACAAAACAAAATTTTGTGTATACACACTGCCCGACCAAAACAAACAAACAAAAAGTCACTGTTTGGATTTAATGGATGATTATGTGAATGGATCATAATTACAGTGATTATGATGTATCTACACTCTTAAAAATAAAGGTGCTTCAAAAGGTTCTTCAAGCGATCCTATAGAAGAACCATTTTTGGTTCCACAAAGAACCATTCAGTCAAAGGTTCTTTAAAGAACCTTTGACTGAATGGTTCTTTGTGGAACCAAAAATGGTTCTTCTATAGGATCGCTTGAAGAACCTTTTGAAGCACCTTTATTTTTAAGAGTGTAGCATGTTATATGTTTGGCAACATTTTTTTTAACCCTAACTGATGGAGTGTTTAGCTTTTCATTTCTTAAACAACCTTGTAAGATGATGTATCATGGCCATATTTCAGGATGACAAAGCCAAGATTCATCAGGCTCAAACTGTGAAAGAATAGTTGAAATAACATCACAACATCTACAATATCTCAAACTTTTTACTTGATTTTTTTTTTATTCTAGAAAGCTTAAATATAACATTTTGAATTTTTTTTTTATTCATTTTGTTTTTTATTATGATGTAAAGCTCATTCTTCACATTTGTTTTTCTGATGACTTCTGTTATTCTGAAATTCCATTTTATTTTGAAGGCATGGATGTTTCCAAATGTGTATCTGAGTGAACTGTGTGAATTAACAGCATTTATTGAGTCAGTTTTTTTTTAATAAGCAGTTAGATATTTGCTAATTTTTATATCATGTTTAGTTCTCTACATATGTTTGTGCTGATTCTGTATAGTAATTGTTTTGGAAGTAGCAGGCTGAAACGGCGTCTGTGAATGTCAACAGATGTCCTGTGTACTGGAAAAAGATCAGCTCAAATAAAAAGCTGTTTACCTTCATCGCTGTCTCCTAACTATTTCCCAGATCACCTCCAGCATCAGAACTGCAGCATCCAGTTTAATGGTTTTTAGCGTCAGACTGAAGGTACATTTAGATCAGTGGCTCTCAATTAGGGGGACCATGTGTGTTTCATGCTGTGGCAGAAGGCAACAAGCAGCAGAAGATCTAGCAGTAGTAATCTGTTTATTAGTCACAACAAGGCTCAGGAACACAAAAAACATGAAAAACCACCAACACCAGACAATAAACTGAGGGTATAATCATAATTTCATAGAAACATAACTGTGATTTTCAGGTTGTTTTATTTTAAATTGTGGTCAAAACTCTCTATATTTTATATATTAAAAAAATTATATTAAATCTCTTTATATACACTAAACAAACTTATAAACGCAAAACACTTTTGTTTTTGCCCCAACTTTTCATGAGCTGAACTCAAAGATCTAAGACTTTTTCTTTTTCACAAAAAGCCCTTCATGAGCTGAACTCAAAGATCTAAGACTTTTTCTATGTACACAAATGCTCCTTTGCCGAGAAAATCCATCCACCTCACAGGTGTGGCATATCAAGATGCTGATTAGACAGCATGATTATTGCACAGGTGTGCCTTAGGCTGGCCACAATAAAAGGCCACTCTAAAATGTGTAGTTTTATCACACAGCACAATGCCACAGATGTCGCAAGTTTTGAGGGAGCGTGCAATTGGCATGTTGACTGCAGGAATGTCCACCAGAGCTGTTGCCCGTGAATTGAATGTTCATTTCTCTACCATAAGCCGTCTCCAAAGGCGTTTCAGAGAATTTGGCAGTACATCCAACCGGCCTCACAACCGCAGACCACGTGTAACCACACCAGCCCAGGACCTCCACATCCAGCATCTTCACCTCCAAGATCGTCTGAGACCAGCCACCCGGACAGCTGCTGCAACAATCAGTTTGCATAACCAAAGAATTTCTGCACAAACTGTCAGAAACCAGCTCAGGGAAGCTCATCTGCATGCTCATCGTCCTCATCGGGGTCTCGACCTGACTGCAGTCCGTCGTCGTAACCGACTTGAGTGGGCAAATGCTCACATTCAATGGCGTCTGGCACTTTGGAGAGGTGTTCTCTTCACAGATGAATCCCGTTTTTCACTGTACAGGGCAGATAGCAGACAGCGTGTATGGCGTCGTGTGGGTGAGCAGTTTGCTGATGTCAACGTTGTGGATCGAGTGGCCCATGGTGACAGTGGGGTTATGGTATGGGCAGGCGTATGTTATGGACAACGAACACACAGGTGCATTTTATTTATGGCATTTTGAATGCACAGAGATACCGTGAAGAGATCCTGAGGCCCATTGTTGTGCCATTCATCAACGACCATCACCTCATGTTGCAGCATGAGAATGCACGGCCCCATGTTGCAAGGATCTGTACACAAGTAGTTTAAGTTTTAAGTACTAGTTTAAGTTTTTGCTTCATTAGAAAGTAAATGTCTCATAGCAAGTATACAATATGACATGAAAGCAAAGTGCAATATTATCTTCAGGGTTTGTTAATGAAATCAAAATGAAACACTATACAGTTTAAATGCATTACGTACCATGTATTTGTATACAGTACCATGGTAATGCCATATTTGTTTGGACATTTAGCATGGTACTACCTTGGTATTCTTTGAAGCACCTTGGAGTACCATGTAAATACCATAGTATACACTACCATTCAAAATTTTAAAGAATTTAATACTTTTATTCAGCATAGATAGCACAACCAGAACATGGGTGCTAAAGTGTTTTAAATTATACCACAAGAGGGCGCTGCAGGCTTGCAGAAGACTCTGAGCCTTGGGGACAACAGCATCTTCAATGCATAAGTATAGTTTGGCAGCTGGAATTGAAGTCATTTGACAGATCCAGCTGAGAACATTTAGCATTGTGACCCATTTCAGCAAGATTACTAATAATACTTCCATGTTTGCATCTGATATGCTTGGCTCTTGCTCTGCATGGAGTGGAAAGGCAGGTGCTGGCAGTACACAAGATAGTGAAAGCCATCAAATTGCTTTTATGCTGGTTCTTTTCACTCTTGTTGCTCCTGAAGTCAACAACTGCCCTGTTTGTTCAGGGATCCGGTCCAGTAAAATTGTTTGTACTCAAAGGTATTTCATGATCAGTCACTTTGCACCAGAGAAAAGGGCTTCAACTAAACATGATGGGAAATTTTGGAGATAAATTGATTTTATAGATGTCAGATCTCTCCTGTGTCAATGAGGCTAGCAGGCAGAGCTGTAGGAAAGTAATGTCGTAGATGTACTGTGGAAATCAAAGTGCTGACAACTTGAAAGACCTCTGAGCAGTAAATCCATAGTGTTCACATGAGACACCTGTCAGCTCATCAAATGGAACTGCGGAGGACCTTAACTCGTGACAAACAAACCATCACTCACACAGCCACTGAGCCTTTTGGTGTAAGAGCCAAAAGGTTATCAGAAACTGTCAGTTGAGAACTGAGAAATGCAGGTGGCTGACTCTTCATGACCACCTGCTGAAACTGTCTATAATCACCACTATCAATACCAGCACAAACCCTGAGCTCTGTGTGCACTTGGCTTGCCGTATACGGTGGCTTTGTGAATTGCATCGGCCCAGAAGGGAATGGATTGGTTCTGCCTGAACCATCTGGTGAATTCCCCTGCTGTGGCTCTGTCCAAAACCCTACAGCACCAGTGAGGAACGAGCGACACTCTTACTGCTCGTAATTGTCATACAGTGTGTTCAAAACACCCTGAGTCTATGCCTACAACCACTGAAGGAATGAGTAAGAGGGGGCTGGTGTTGCTTTGGCAGAGAGATTTATATTTTATTGTGTAATAATATGAGACATGCTTCGATATCAGGGTTGTGCGCCATTCAGAATTGAATTAGAAATGCCTTTTAAATTGAACTGAAGCAGAATTAAAATGAATTCAAATGCAAAAAAGGATCAAAAAACCTTTTTGATTATAGATAGATAGATAGATAAACACCCTATCTGAAAGCGATAGATAGATAGATAGATAGATAGATAGATAGATAGATAGATAGACACCCTATCTGAAAGCAATAGATAGATAGATAGATAGATAAACACCCTATCTGAAAGCAATAGATAGATAGATAGATAGATAAACACCCTATCTGAAAGCAATAGATAGATAAACACCCTATCTGAAAGCAATAGATAGATAAACACCCTATCTGAAAGCAATAGATAGATAAACACCCTATCTGAAAGCAATAGATAGATA